GCAAACTGAAACGTGAATGTTTCTGAAATATTTCTTAAATTTTCTAGTTGAATAGCATTTTAATAAGTAATTAAAGTAACAATTTGCGAATAATTATCAACAATGTGGTAAGTGGAACGAGGGAAGAGGATAACAAGACTTTTGTTGACTTGGAAATGAATCTCTGGTTGGAGCGGACATTGAGGCACGAGTTGTAAGAGAACAGTTAAACACAACCGCCCACGTTTGCTACTCCACTTAAGTCAAGGAACTCTTTTTTTTTATTTATTTCTTGCCAGAACAAACTTAGCAAATAAAAAAAAAATGAAAAAGACCTGAATTGCAAAGATAAATCTAATCGCTGTACCGTATATTTAACAGCACGTTCGTCTGCATATCGAGAATCGAGTAAAGTTATTAGATTAAGTTATGAATAAATTTGTATAGTTTGTATAAACACGCATTTTGAATGATAGTTCGAACTGTATATTTGTTACAGTCTCTTATGTAATTCTAATAACTATTATTGATAAATAACAGTGGCGGCTCTTAAGAACTTGTTTTTAATCTTTCCATCCAATGTAACAGTAACTCGCATAGTCCGGCTTCGATCAGTCCGGATACACAGTTTGAACAATTAAAAAAAAAATCTAAATTTTAATTCAGAAAAATTACAAAATTATTTGTTTATATATGATGATCTCTTTTTTTTCTCAATTCATTTAGTTGCTCGAATATTCCGGTTTCAAACAGATATTTGTCGAAATCCGGACTATGCGAGTTATTCTTATATATGTAAGCAACTGACGAGTCGCCACTGATATAAATGATTATTTAATAAAAGCGTTCGGACTGTTAGTTTTTATTGCGAGCGGTTGTTATATAAATAGCTTAATGGTGTTTCGCTTCTTGTTGTGTTTCTTCCTCAATTGATTAGCGCGGTAATTCATACTTGACGTTTTATTATCAAAAAGCGTTGATAGCATCGCGTTACTGTTAGACAGACAAGGCAGAGTCGTTTCGAAAATGGAAAGGAAAAGCGGGCAGAAAGAAGTCGTAATAACGGTGGTCTCTGGACTGGCAGCATTACAATTTCGTATGGTAATTGAAGCTAAATCATAATAACACTTGCTGCTGCTGCTGCTTCCTGACATCTTCTCGAGGATGGAAGAATTTTTTTTTTTGCAATAGTCAATTCGAATTGAAAATCATTCAACTAATGGATGTAAACAATGATCGACCACTCTTGAATAATGCACGAACGATGTAATTAAGAGCGTTGCTTTCTGAATTATGGATGGACATCGGGTTTGAGAAAAAGGAGGAGAGTAATTGCCGCTTTACAATTTGCCATTATTATAATTGTCGCTATTTACATTCGGAACTGATTACGAACGCACGGGCATCAGTAATTAAATCGTCGTTACAGGAGTGAGACGGAAAGTGGAAAACCGGTGCGGAGTTTTAATCGAACATTCCGGTAAAATAAAAAGTCCTTAACTAATCTCTGTTCCAGCCCATTTGGCGCCGATCCTAATTCTATACACTGCACTCTGGTTTTGGCGTTAAGTCAATATGCTAATCGGATTTGTCTCTGCCGGTTTATGTCTTCGTAATTTACATTTGTTTTGCTTCATTATTTTTGTGTTTCTCTCTGGAAGAGATCGAACACCATAAGGTTTTTCATTATATTAACATAAAAAAACACTTACCTTCTTCATCTGTTTCTAATTCTATAAGACTTATAGAATTAGTCGTGGAAATTTTTTAACCATTACCCCAAAATATTATTGCGTAAGTCGATATTACCCCCCCCCCATTCTGAATAGAAAACAATCAGTGTAAATTTTAAATAAACATTATTTAGTGAATTAATTTGCATTTACATATTTATAAAAAAGAGTTACATGAAAATAGTAACAAGTAATAATAGACAAACAAAATAAAATTCTTAAATTGGAACAAACAAAAATTAATTTGAAACTTTCCTCCTTCAGGTTTTGGAAAAATGATGTTGCTTCATGTTTGATGTAATTACTTAAAAATTGGGACTTTTTGATGTAAGAGCAATTTGAATACAGTCTTCGGCGTTTAATCGATTTCTGTTTTTCGTTTTTATGTTCATTAGAGTGGAAAAGCCTTGTTCACAAAATTAAGTTGTTGCAAATGGCAGCAATTTTTTTACCGTCTCCTCATGTGCAATTTTGAAAGCCTTTGACAACCAAAAAGACTTGCTTTGGTCTCAAATTGAATACAGTATTGGATGGAAGTTCAAGAATTGCCTCTGCCAAACCTGGAGGTTCTTCTGGTATGTTAGTAATTTCACATTTAAAAGGATCTTCAACCCAAATCACAGTTTGTACATCAAGATCTGAAAAGTAGTCAGAGAACCGCTCTCTGAGTTTGGAAACATTTTTACCCCATTTTGGGTAATTTACCCCGGTTCCCCGATTGGTATAAGTGAAAGGAAAGGGTGAATAGGAAATAAAAGACAATTTTTTTTCGTTTCGTTTTTGGTTATTTTATATTGTTTTGATGTTATATACAGGATAACCTTATATTTTCGTTCGTTCGTTCGTTAATTCGTTCGTTCGTTCGTTCGTTCGTTCGACATTTTTTTATCAAGGTGGCCGATCCTTGGCGGAACAAACGTTACAATCAAATTTAATGTCGGTTACATTTTTATCTTTGAACTTGATTTCTTCTTGAGGGCACACGTCGTTCTGGAACGGGCCCCAGATGGAGCGGGCTTCCAGTTTCTCACGTTCGAGAACGACGTGTAAGCTGCACGGCCTGCAAATCCTATCCTCGGAGCAGCGATGTTTCGATGTTAGGTTGTGCGTGCTTCCGGGAACTCTGTTGCAGGTGCCCCCACTTTGTGGAAATGTGATATTTTTTTATAGATTTCATGACTTCGCTGACGAATTTCCAGTAAGTGCTGCAGCTTCGTGGTTTATTTTATAAATTAAAGGTAAATTAACCATATTGAAACTCTAACTTGGAAACACTGGTATTGATATCGTTAATTGAAAGTACATATTGTCTATGGGGAATATTATACTTATTTATATATATATATATGTATGTTCCATTAAATACTATTTACACTAAACAGACACTGTAGACATTTAATTTTTATTGTTTGTGATCATCTCGTCAGTGTGATTCAATTGTGCGGAAACTATAATTACGAAACGATAAACACGAACACTCGATCGTCCAGGTGTGAGGAACGCCTTTGTTTGGGCCGTGCTCGATCGCGAACGCTCCCCATCTTTATGTTTATTTTCAAGTGTTTGGCAAAATGTGAAATTGCGAAGCGTCCGGTCACGACGTCCGAATGGTCAACGGATTGTTGCGTGCTTCCATTTCGTACAAACTGAAATAAGGGTTCGGATGGATCAACGTGCCTCTTCCTCTACTCCGTGGATCGGCTAAATTATTGTCTTCGAAAAAATGGTGCAAACCGAGGGGGGGGGGGATAAGATTTAAACGAACTCAGATGTAGAATGTTCTGTGCGTAAGAGACCATTTCCAGCCGCGTTCGATTGACCATAGGACTCAGTTCGAAACCATGGCGCGCGAGAAAATCGGTTGAGAACAGCAGCGTTTAGGCTCGAGATGTGCTGCTTGCATAATTTTGTTTGTTTTTGTTTGTTTAGTTGAAAGGGTCGCGAAACGTTCGAAGAAGGGTGGACCCACCCCCGTCAGTCCGCGCCACGATGCTGGAAAGGTTCGAAAGAAGGAATAATAAGGTAAGGTGGGTTTGGGGATAAGTTAAGTAAGTGCAGAGAGGTGCGCGCATGGGTTTCGGGAACTGATGCCGCGAAGGTCATAGAATCCCGAGCCCAGGACCTCCGGGAAGGCCCTCCCGTCTCCTCTATGACAGTCCGGCGCGCGGCGGAGATTCGACCCGGCTGGAAACGAGATGGTTTTAGTTTTTTTTTAGTTTTCATTAACCCAGGCTTTCGAACTGAAAAGGGTTTCAACTTAGGCGTTGGTAGTAGAAGGCGCGATCGTTCGTAATCAAAGGAAGAGGCCAGCTGCAACCCGAACATGGGGAAGGGAATCTGAAACTTCCACCTGAAAGATCTAAGGAATCTTCGGAACGTGCGCACGGTTCCCCCTTTTTGTTTTACAGAAACGGCGTCTGGGTCCAGGTCGGATCGCGTCTAGGAGTAGTAGTAATGGTTAGTAGTAGTATACTAGATCCGATCCAAGCTTGACCCTGTTCGCTATTGGGACGCTTTCAGATTCGCTCGCTGAGAGGTCCATCACCATCGTAGCAGACGATGGGCGGATTTCATTGAACGGGATCCGTGGGGTCGAGGGGGCAACGCGTGCGGGAATCGTGTTGGTAAGATACGATTTCGGCGCGCGTTGCTCCCCGGCGTCCTGTGGAAAGTCGAGGGAATCGAAGTGGGAAAGGTTCCAAACGCGAAGCACGAGCACACCGGGATGCGTTCGTGCCTGGTTGCGAGTCAAATTCGCCTGACGACGATATCCAAAGAAGAACTGTTGTGACGAATGTGTCGCAACCATCGTCTTGCCCCAATTCACATAATCATCATCGATCCGACTTTACCATTTCGATGGTGCTGTTGGTGATCAACATCGAGCATGCAAGGGTGCAGCATGAGAAAAATTTAAAATGTACATTGTCCCTTTTCTTTTTTTTCTTGGTGGTTTTTTTGAAATGATTTCGTCTATTTTCAGCTAAGTGTAATTTGTGGGTTTAGCAGATCTCTGTTGGTCTGTCTCTGTGAAACGGGGTCGGAGTGGGCCGCTCCCGAACTGCGGCCCTCGTCCAGACGCGGTTTTGTCCTTCTGGTCTGTTATTTAACCGGGGTCCATTGATCATCACGAATATACCAAACGCATGATCTTCGACGTTGGTTGTGATGGTGGTCGTGCTGTTGGTGTTAAGATCTTCGGCCACACTTCTCGGCTGCCCTCCGAGGGCTTCACGGTGGACCATCCGGAAGTGTGGCCGGACGCAAGGGTCTCTGACGACTGACCACCGACGATGGTCCGTCATGGTGACTTCTCGTCCATCGATCGCCCTCTCCGTCGGTCTCGGGTCTCCTCTGGTGTTATTACAGGTGATCGGTGGGCATCCGGTCGAAGCCCTTTAGGACGCCTGCACCTTAGGGCTTGCGCAGCAGTTGGACGTGGGGCATCGTCGGCCCCGGGGTCTCAGAAACCCCGGAGCCTCGATCGGCGTCCACTAGATGAGCAGGACCAGCGAACGCACCTCAGACACAGCTCCTCGGCTGTCCCAAGGACGAGAGCGACGATAACTCTTCTTCTACCGAAGCGGAACGTTGCCTCCTCCTCCCTCGGGACACCTCCAAAGATGCGGCAAGCAGAAAAGCTGAGGATTCAGCGACGACGGGAAGGTTCACGCCTTGGCGCCGCTGCAATCGGCGACCTGCGGATCTCCGCTCGCTCCCTCCACGCTGCACACCGAGTCTTCAGGAGTCCGCGATGGCTCTGCTTCCGTCGTCTCCTCCGGCGCTGGCTTCTGAACTCGATGTTTACCGTAGAGATTCTGCACAACAAAAAAAACCCCCAACAGGCAGCATTAGAGCAACTCGTGTTGCAATCGCACGTGCAAATTTGAAAATTTGACCTCGTTCCTCGTCATCCCCACTTACCCTTTCACGACTTCCTTTCTTCTGTTGGCGTTAGTAAAAACGTTTAATTATTAATCGATTTTCATGCACCCATGCAACGTAATACCATCTACTCAAGTACTTGCCAAATAACTTTAACAAGAACAACATGTAGAATGGGACAAGATTCAGACAAATACAAGAAAGATACTTTCCAAGTATTCAACAATATTTATAATTTGTTCAAAATCTCGAACGTTCATAGACAATCATAGATTATTAAACCAAACTCTTTCTGCCATTAAATATTTTGAAAAAATTTTGTTGCAACTATTTCTGTATCTCTCCCATAGTTCAATTGACAAATTCCAAATAATGATTCAATTAATTCCAAAAATAATTTTATTTAATATTGAGTAAATGTAATTGAATATCTAAATCGATTGCGTGCCTATCCCAAGCTGCAGACTGTTGCAACCCTTGGCAACAGGGGGATGCTGCGCGTAGCATTCAGATCAAGGTTGGTCCTGGATTTTATCGATTTTATGACCGCCCTGACGACCTCAACCTCTCCTTCATTGAGGACCGCACCCAAAAGTGCATCAATCAATTTCAGATCATCTTTATTATGATTTTTTTTTAACAATATCAAAAAATAAAATTAGTCTTCTGTACATCCAGAATTATTTGGATCTACAATAGTACATTCTATCATTGTGAAAAAAATATTTTTCTTTATTGTTTTATTTACAATTGTTGCATTTTCATACTCTTTGTACATTTTTTTTTACAAATTTTCAAAAATTAGTTAAATTTTTGAAAAGATACAAACACAATAAATCTTCGATACATCCAGAATTATTTGGATCTACAATAGTTTAATTACATTCTATCATTGTGAAAAAAATATTTTTCTTTATTGTTTTTATTTACAACTGTTGCATTTTCATACTCTTTGTACATTTTTTTTACAAATTTTCAAAAAATTTAGTATTTTTTTGTTTTCGATATGATACAAACACAATAAGTCTTCGATACATCCAGAATTATTTGGATCTATAAAAGTCTAATTGCATTTTATCATTACAATTATTGCATTATCATACTTTTTGTATACTTTTTTTTTACAAATTTTCAAAAATTTAGTTTTTTTTTTTCGAAATGATACAAACACAATAAGTCTTCGATACATCCAGAATTATTTGGATCTATAAAAGTCTAATTGCATTCTCTCATTAAGAAAAATAATCTTCAATTCACTTCAATTATCTTTGTTAATTCCAATTCCAATTATTCGAATTTTTGACTTATGAAAGAAAAAGTTATACAACATTTTTCATTCATTATTTTAGGAATTAAAATCATTATTTTTGTCAATAGTTAAATAGTGGCAGGTGGATTTTCGAAATTTGGTTTAAACATTTAAAATAAATATACATTTATTATAGACACGTTCATGTTCGAAAATTTGAACAAAATTTTCAATTGAGGAAAAATGGAAAATTTATAGAAAAAAATTGATTACTGAAAAAATTGATTTAGATATTGGGAAATAGTTTAATTTATATTGGAATTCGATCAAGATTAATGAAATGTATGCATGACATTGAAATTTATGAATTATTGTTAAAATTCTGAATTTTAATTATTATTATGGTTATGAGATTTTTGTTAAATTGTAATAAATTATTTGTTTGTGTAAATAAATAAATAAATTGCACCTACTTGCAAGCTGAATCTTCTGTGCTGAGCTTTCCTGCCACCTCGGCGTTTGGAGATGTGCGGGTTGTCCCTGCAGATGGTCTTGGTCTTGAAGATCTCCAACTGCGTGTAGAGCCGCTTCAGCTCGGCCCTTATATCGTCGGGACTCATGTCGGCCAGGGTGACTTCCCCCACTTCGACGTCGCTGTTGTTCCCGGTCAACGGTCCATGCGCGTTAACATCCTGCAGGACGAAAACAGGATCAGCGACAAATGATAAAACGAGCAAAACCACCGCAACAATTTTTCGCTTCTCCTAGCCACCCCTGAAAAGATTTTCGTCGGATTTTTTCACGGTCACCATCGAACACCTTGGATCCATGTGATTGCACAAGAAAAACTTCAATCCGAAGACGTTTTCATAAAGAAAAACGCGAAATTCTGAGCGACAGTAGGCGGAGCTTCACCTGTTATGATCGATAATGCATCAACACCCACATACACCCCCACCCCCGATGCAAGAGATCCGAGCCCCGGGAATTCTGGGAAAAAAAAAACCTTCAGCGAGCCGAGCTGCTTTCTTTTTACCCTTTTATTTGGTACATTCAATATTCGATAATGCACCAAAAGAAAAGGGTACAAAAAAACAGCCGCATCTAATTCCAAATCTAACATTAATTTGTAACGAACGAAAGCCTCGAATGTGAGCTAATTTTTTTTTTAATAGTTAGATATGCTGTGATGCAAACGAGATGGATGTACACGGGTTTCGCGTCCGATGAAACGAGATGAGAGCTGTCGCGTACGTACGCGCGGAATACTAGGTATGGAGGTATCCCGGAGCAACAGATATTGATTTTGACGTAACCTAGGAAACTGGAGATGGGTGTACGATGGTTTGCGTTTGCAGGAAAGGGATGCAACTAGCTGCGAAAGCGCAACTCTAAACGGGATGGAATTGTTGAGAAGACAAAAAGAGCACAACATTGCATCAGATTTCGAAATTGACAAAGATAATCATTTTCATTAAAATTATCAAATTTTGTATTAGTTTTGTAATAAATTAGGCAAGCAGAAAATAAATGTAAAAGTTATTCAAACCAAATTGTTTTAAAACAAAATCAAATCTATTGATTTTTCAACTCTGTTGATTGGCACGTTGACACAACACCTCCGCTCTTGGAGAAATAAACAAAATCTTGTGTTTCCAGCCTACTGTTAAACCCTAAGATTACTATTACATGAAAACGAAGCGCATGAGTACATCGATCGACCAGCAACCAGCTGTTAACCTTGGACTGTTCTAAACACTATACTTCTCAAGTAGATTATACTTGTGCTGTGTTTATTGTCATGTAAATATTTCTCAATCAATTTTTCATATTTTTTTCTTCTTTCTCCAAGTAGTACCCTAGCCTACTATTACCAAGTAACGTTTCAATTGCAATTAAAATTTCTTCTGTGTGTTTTTTTCAAGCGATTTTTGCTTTCGCAACGTTTTTCATCCAGGACGTACGCGGCTTCCCATCCCGTTTAACGTTCCGTTTTCCGGAAACTACCTGCATCTCGCTTCATCATGTGCGGTTCGTGCGGCGCGGCGCGATCCATCTCCGTCAGTCCAGATTTCGGAACGCTACAGACAAATCAATATTTATTGCATCCCACCCCGTTTATGTTTTCATCTCACTTCAACGCATTTCAATTACATAACGGTAATAGAGACATACAGATTTTTAGTTGTGAATTAATTTTTGATTAGTTTCAATTGATAATTATAAAAAAATTATAGTTTTTTTTTGTTATTTTAAAATTAATAACTTTTTTTTTCAAAATCTAATTTTTTTAATAGATAAACATAGAAATTACTATTAAAAAAATATTTAATTAATATATTTTCAGTTATTAGTGGAAATAATAATTTGTAAAGCATTAAAAACAAAAGTTGAAATATTTCTGTTCATTAAATTTTTGTCGATTTTAAAAAAGTTATTGAATTTGAAAAATGTACAAATATTATTGTTTTTTTTTTTATTTAATTTGTTTATAACGAAAACTGATATTTTCTTGAAAATTTGTAATTCCAATTTAGAAAAGAAACATTTTTTTCAATATTGAAATTTTTAGTTGTGAGTTAATTTTTGATTAGTTTCAATTGATAATTATAAAAAAATAATAGTTTTTTTTTGTTATTTTAAAATTAATAACTTTTTTTTTTCAAAATCTAAGTTTTTTAATAGATAAACATAGAAATTACTATTAAAAAAATATTTAATTAATATATTTTTAGTTATTAGTGGAAATAATAATTTGTAAAGCATTAAAAACAAAAGTTGAAATATTTCTGTTCATTAAATTTTTGTCGATTTTAAAATTTTTATTGAATTTGAAAAATGTACAAATATTATTGTTTTTTTTTTTAATTTAATTTGTTTATAACGAAAACTGATAGTTTCTTGAAAATTTGTAATTTCAATTTAGAAAAGAAACAATTTTTTCAATATTTAATTTAATCCGGTCCTGTCTACACATATATTTCTCCAATGAAATACAAAACACGTTTACCTGCATCCATTTTATTCGCAGTTCCGTCTACCCACAGCAAAATCTATATTGATTGTATCCTTCCTACTCTCATATCTCATCCATTTTATACTTTAAATCAGTGTTTCCCTACAACTTTTCTACCAGGCCACACCTAAAATTCTCATGCCCCTTATGTACATATACATAATTTGCCCCATGTGGGGCGTGGGGCCCCAAGTTGAGAAACACTGGAACATATTCTAAAGTTTAGAAGAATTTTCAGATAATTCTCATTATTTGCAATAGAATTTTTGTATTAGAATTCTACATACAATAATTTAGATTTTGAACTAATTAAATTATTTAGTAATCTGTAAATTACTTTGTTTTCAGTTTTTCAGTCAACTATTTTACTTTGTATATAAAGTCATGTAAAAAAAAAATCTGAAACATTTTTGAAAATTCCCATTTGAAAATTTCATAAATTAAATTTTAATCGAACAAAATAAATTCTAAATAATTAGTATCCTAATTATTTTTTTTATTGAAATATCTCATTACCTGAGATATTAACATTATCTTCACTAAATATTACTCCTTTTTTTTTGGTAAAAAATTAAGTTATATAATTATACTTAATACATTTGATTTCTATTCTTCTGTTCAATTAATTAATTAATATTGCGTAATAGATATGAGATTTTGTCTCTGGGGACACACAAAGCTCGTTTCCATGCCGACTCAATATACACACACACATTTGTTCGGCAGTCCTGCAACTACTTGCATCTCTCTCCATCATCTCTCGTTGCTAGGGCATCCGTCTCTATCATCTCGAAAAGTGTGCATGCATTTCAAAATCAATAACTGTTGCTCCTGGAAACGGCGGCTCTCCATCTCGCTTAATTGTGTTTGCACGTCCGCAGCCTCCCATCATTTAATCGCATCTTCCTTCTATTGACATTACATTTTTCCGCTTCGTAAAAGCTTTCCACTCTCAACTTTCAAATTGTATATACATCTAGTAATAGAAAATAAACGAGTAGATTTCAACTTTAATTATGTAAGTTCATTTTTCAAGTTTATTTTGCTAAAATTCCATTAAAATTGACTTTAATTTAGGTTATTTTTTATATTTTTATTAATAATGATGTTGAAAGTATTGCATAATATTTCATATTGTTGTCTCTTTTTCGGGATACGTGTACGAATTTATCGCAGGAGTGATTCTGCAGTCCTGCAACTGCGTACATCTCTCTCGAATAAATGCAAATCATATGCACATCCATCTCTGTTGCCCCGGGTCTCGACTCGTGCAGATTTCGAAATCAATAATTGTTGCTCCTGGTTACCAGAATCTACCCTCCCCCCCCAATCACGGATGCATGTGTTTACGTGTGTTCCATTTTATACAAATCACGGGAATTATTGACTTTTTTTTACACTTTATTGACTTTTATAATAAAATTTAATTTACTTCTTAATAACAATTAGTAGATTATAATTAATTGTTTTCATTTAGTTTTAATACTATTATTAAAATAAATGTTATACGAATTTTTCATATTTTTGTTATGTTCGCATTATTGAAATTAATTTTAAGTTTTGATCACATCATAAAATTGTATGATTATAGTAACAAAACTGACATAACCTCAATAGAAAATAAATGAAGGTAAAACTAAATAGTAACGTTTCTTTTATAACACTTTCTAATTTCAAATGGAAATTAATTTGTGGATTATTTTATTACATATTTTATTTAAAACTAATTATTTTAAACTTTACAAGAAAAAAAGTTGTAACATTTCTTAGCTTTTATATCGAATATCGCAATTATATCGAATCCTATAGTTCTTTTTTCAACTTTCATTGAAGCTTACGCAAAGGGAATCTGCAGAAGACAGGCAATTACCGAACGAAAATAGAAATAATTGATCGAGGAGGCACGTGGACGAATTCCACGTATCTGACACGTGGTCATAACTCAGTTACAAAACAAAATGTGAAATAAATGATGAAACAAAATATAAAACAATTGATTTGTTACAATTACCCAAGACAAAAACATTTGATTAATGTCAAAAACAACAAAAAAAACATACCTAACCTAAAACATTTGACACATGTCAAAATTAATGATTTTTATTTTTTTTTTCAAGTTTATAATTGTACTAATTGCAAAATATTTTGACGAAAACAGATATTTGTAAAATTAATAAAAACTTCTATTAAAAATGTCATGAATTAAATATTGATTACGTTACTTTTGCAGGAAATAACGTAAAACGTTTAATATGTTGTTAGGAAAACTTGTTTTGATAGTTACATTTTTTTTTGCTAAGTACTTCTTCAGTTTAATGGTTCATAGCTGTATTGAGAGAGCATTCAAATGGAAATTTTGCAGGTATGCATTATTGATTTATTGCTGCAGTAATCGAGTACGCATGTAGTGTGGACGGGAGCTCCAAAGATCCGGGATTCATGGCCGACAACGATGATAAACGCATTTAACTGTTAAACTAATATTTTGATTATAAATCAACTAATCTTGAAATCATTCAGTTTTTTGCTCAAAACGTTTTGAATTCTATTAAAGAAAAAGTTAATTCAAGTTTTCTTTTAACTTTTGTAGAATATTAATTACCTGAAGATAACTTGATATAATTTAGGAAAAAAATAATTTTGTTGGATAATTTTACTACTTTATAAGAAAATCGT